AAAAATATGTACAAGGCCCAAAGGAGCCTATTTTGCAAATTGCAACGCGTTGCACATAAGCACAAATTAAAGAAAATACTGATTCAATCTCTTTGCAAATCATGTAGGAGCGAAGCCAAATGTTTGGCCAAAAAGTTCACTATCCCTTTCAATATATAAAATACATATAATCATCAATAGTTTGAGGAAAGAGATTATTTCATTCAAAATAGGAATTTGACCGGACACCACCACAAACGGTGATTGGAACTGAATCCGATCAGCGGTTGTGGCCAGCCTTGATAGCTAGATGCTTACGGGGAGCCTTTCGTTGTGAACTGGAGAACAACACCACTCACACCGCGGTGGAATTCAACTTTGAAATCTGTGTTGGAGAAGTCGCTTTTTGCAGGCAATGGGTGATAATTTTAAGTATCATAGCAACAATTGCACATTCGTGCAATTTTCAAAAGTGAAATTTTGATAAATGATAAAGTTTTTAGTTAAGCAGATGCATAGAAATATTTCTGATCGATTGGTGATACAATTATTGAAATTGGTCCAGGGCCAGCTGAGTTATTAACGCTCAAAATCTTTCATAATTTTGATACATGTTCCATTTTCGGTTTTCACAAAGTGTACCTCCATATAGAAATCACAGATGTAGTCCTACGTCAAAAAAAAAATAATGCAAAATCAGATGACTCAACGTTAAGTAATGGAAATCATATCGATAGAATGATTGTGTATATTTTATTCTCGGAACCGAATTATTATTTATTGTACAAACCAACAATAGACAACGAAAGTGAAGTATTATAAACGGGAAACAAAACAAATAGAATTACAACTAGTTCAAACAATTTAAAAAATTGTGAGAATGTTTGATTTTGATAAAATGTACAATCGTCCAGTTGAATTAGCACCGGGGGTACATTAAGGAAATATCTGTATCTGGTGCAACTCAACTCAAAAAAAGAATATATCGGTATTGTTAATCTGTTTTTTTTACGTAAGACTACGTCTTTGATTTCTATATGAGGATACACTTTGTGAAAACCAAAAATGGAACATGTAACAAATTAAGAAAGATTTTGAACTTAAATAACTCAGCTGCCCCTGGTCCAATTTCAGTAATTTTATCACCAATCGTTCAGAAATATGACTACGCATCGATAACAATGCTTTTGAATGCTGATTTTCAACAAGAAACTATTGAAAAACTGGTAAATGTCCAGTTTAAGCGTCGAATTAACTAACAAAACCACCAATTACCTACATGCATATTAGACTGATGCAATATTTGAAATTTTTGTTCCACAGTGCTGAAACGGTTCCAAATCGGGCCCTGATTAGCATCCCAAAATTTGAACTCATTTAGTGAGAAACGGACTTGGCACAAACCATTTGAAGTTTATATGGGAATTACTATCGAAAAACCATCATTTCGGTTAATATCGATCTCAAAATGTATCAGTTCACTCTACTTTAAAAAATGATAGCTGAGCCTGTTGAAAATTTTCTCAGCTACAACTTTGTGCAAGATCAGTTTTCGATCAAATGTAAGGAACAAAAGTTATTAATGATTCAAGTCACTGATGTCTTATGATTATGCTCAATCAACTGTTCAGCAGGCAACATTGGTGTTTATGGCACGTAGAATAGAGGACCAAAATCATGGCTACTATGTCACACTGCAGAATACAGTGTTGCCCACAATACAGTTGCTTAATCTTGCCATAAGATTATCAATCTCTTAAACAATTTATAACTATTTAATTTGATGTTTGGCTGAAAAACAATTTTCTGCAAATTTGTAGCTGATAAAAATTCCCATAAGAATAGCAATAGAATTGGTTAACAGTACAATATGTAAAAAGGCTAAAAGACAATGAACAAAAAGTTTATATGGAAATTACTATGTGAAAAGTAATTTCCATATAAACTTCAAATGGTTTGTGCCAAGTCAGTCTCTTATCAAATGAGTTTAAACTTTCGGAATCTTATCAGGACCCGATTTGAAACCGTTTGAACACTCTGGAGCGAAAATTTCAAAATTTGCATCAGTCTAATGCATATGCTGCACAGTCGTCAAAGAGTAGTAAGTAGACGAAACAAGTCGAAGTGGCATTCGCCTCCGATCCTCGGGCGCGTGCGAATAGGAAGGATGGAATTGCGTAATATTTTGCATCTCCATATCTCAACATTCCATGTATTTTGATGATACTCTGTAACACTTGGTGGGGGAGGGAGGATTAAAATTTGAAGTCCCTCCCATTTTGCATATTCCCTCTCTTTTAACAAGAAAGCCTGCAAGAAAATACTATTTATCAAAAATTTCTAGGAAAAAAAACTGAACGATAATGAATGATTTCTTTTGACTTATTTTGACCATAATATGCATCCAAAGCGTTCCATCCACTTTTCTAAATTTCGAACTTACCATCAATAGAACAGCGCCATCAATGAGAAAAAATAGCCTTGACTTAATGGTGAAAACAATTTTTGTAGTTCTTTAAAAATTCTACTCTAACTCTTTTCTTAAATGAACTTGGTGGCCCTGAAAAGGGCCGGTTTGTTACTCGGGTGTTGGTGATAATGATGCGTAGACGACCAGTGATGCCACATATACAGATTTATCTGTAACCATACAGATTTTTTTCAATATTTTGATACAGATATCTGTATATACAAATAAATAAAGAGTTTCGTATTATTTTCTATATCTATTAATTCTGATAAATAATCGTTTCTTACTTTTGAGCAGCTTGAATTCAATCTATGAGCATCAAACCCAAAACGGGTTTTTCACTAAATAAAATATGATTGCATTATGTTCGAATGGCTGGGAATCTTTCAAATTGACTTCTGATGTTCAGATGTTCTGAGTTATCTTTGGAATGGATATAAGTTCCACTTTTTTTTCTGTATAACAGGTAGCTGCGCCTTCGCATTAGTTGCGATTCATTCGTTCAACGGTAAACATCGGTGTCGGTGTCATCGTGTGATAACATCCAGGGCCTGCCATTCGTCGTCTGGATCGACGTAGTGGTGTCTCATCTCCGGTCTGATGTACGAGGTGTGCTGAAGGTGTGCCGAGAAAATGTGATCCGTGATGCCGTCACTGAATACGCAGCTGCCTACAAGTCATCATCATCTTCTAAAGGCTTTAAGCCTGTACTACCATCGGTCCTTTTCAGGGCCACCAACATTTTCCAAAAGAGTTAATTTTTTGAACATGTCCCAACTAAAATTCATATCAAAAGGTTCCTTTCAGGGCAAGCATAGTCATACTAAAGTGTATAAACAGAGAGAACTCTGCTAAAATTACTATTCCAACACAAAAAAAAGCTCCTGCTGCATTTAACAAAAATATTTATTATATCATACCACGTAGTCCTACGTCATCATTGCGTACAACCCCCTTGGACTGTCCCTTGAAGTTTTTTTTATTTAATTTCTTTGGAAATGTCTATAATCAATTTTGTCATCATCATACAATGTGAAAAAGGTTTTACGATCAGTCAATATGACAAATTCTGAAAAAGGTTTTACGATCAGCATCAGCTGTAACAAATATTCAACGTCATACCTAGAATAAGTTTGGTATTTTCTTCATATATCCCTTTATACCTTAGCCAAGCATCTTAATCACCTTTTTTCACACAATTCATTAAAAATTGATTAAAAAAAAAAACAAAAAAATGTATTGACACAATAAGAAACATTATAAATCCATGGTATTTACAATTTAAAGATTAAGTGGACAGCAATATTTGTCGGTGTGGAAACAGTTACGATGACATCGATCACGCAGTTTGGCAATGTACGGATAATGACGCTGCCAGAGAGCGGCTTTTGAATACCCTCGAGGCCCAAGGAAGACAACCCTATGATCCTATCAGAGACGTGTTGGGAACTCGCGATATCTGCAATATGCAGTGGGTTTAAGTGTTTCTTCAAATGTCTAGAATAAGAATTTAATTACTTTATATTTTGTCTCTCTTTATTAATTTTTTTTTTTACTTGTGTCAATGAGTCTCATCGTCGCCCACTGGTCACCCACCATAGCCGGTCGAACTACAGACGAATCTAGAACCGAACTACCATTCATACTGGCAACAACGCTCTGATGAGACAACGAAAACACACTCCTAAGCTCCTCCCCTGATCCTATCCTTCGACAATGTACCCTTCTAACCTCGAGTAAGCCGCCAGTAATCGGCCCAACTTCTACTAGACATTGAATTAACTGAATTTTGTTACAAACAACGAACAATGAATTATTGGCTCCGTAAAGCTAACGCGATTAAGCCTTCCAAATTAATGAACTGGATAAAAAAAAACAAACAATATTTTTAATTGTTTCCAATAAAATTTAATGAATTTGTTCAGTTTAAACTAAACAGCTTATGGTTTTCTTTATTCGGGTTGTGCATCTACGCTTTATTAATTTATCATTTATGTAAAACACTTCTGATTCCACTACGTTTATTCATATGTTTATGAACAACTTGAGGCTTTATCACTTCTGCTTTGGCTATTATTACGTCTCAACTGAAACTATGAGCCGATCCACAACTTAGTTGGTTGAGAGTTTTAAGCCTGTATCATGTGTGTACGCATATTGTGTGACAAGCATAATGCCACTTCATGACCACTAATTTTATTTCGAATAATTAATAAACCGGACTGGGAATCGAACCCACTACCTCCAGCATAGTCTAGCTTTGTAGCAGTGCCTTGAGCGACCGAGCCGAAGATTTGCTAGGATCAGTTCTAAAATCCCTTGCTGACAGCTTCATGTAATGAACAGTGATGCACTCATACCGTTCAGGGTGCATGTGCATTGTGCAGTGTGTCCGTCTCGTGTTACACATCAATTTTCTGTCGTGGCGTTAATTATGCAGAATACCGTGTACAGGAACCAGGAGCCACTCCTGTTGAATATTCATCATTTAATCAGGAGAAAGTGGTTGCATTACAAGTTATGCACCTACTTTGGATTCACTCAGTCAGCCATGGCGTCTGGAACCAAGAGGTCGGTCAAGCGTCGGAATTTGAAATCTCATGCAGATCATCTTCTGCAGGAGTATTGTTCCAACAGTTCCATTCATGGAGTTCGATATTTTAAAGGCCAGAACCAGTCACGCTGTGAAAGATACTGGTGGGTTGTGGTGTTCGCTCTATCGGTTGGAAGTTGTGCGTATCTTATTGGGAAAATCTACCAAAAATGGGACCAGACTCCGGTCATTGTAAGTTTCCACGAAAAGACAATTCCCATATGGAAAATTCCCTTTCCGGCGGTGACCATCTGCCCCCGGAGCAAATGGAATGGCAACAGCCTCAATTTTTCCAAAGAACTTCAAACGTTGATGAGGGAAGGTCCTGAATTCTACAACAGGTGAGCGATTCGATCGAATGCATGCAAAAAATACACGTTTTCACATTTTTGCTTTTTCTAGAACGGATGATATGCTGGCTATTCTGCAGCTATGTGACAGGACATTTGTTTCACTTTTCTTGAACATTTATAATGAACTACCAAATAAAACAACCTCAGAAAGCTATCACAGTCTAATGTCCAATATTTCGCTTCCGATGGAAACATATTTCTGTACTTTTAGAAGTGAACTCTATGCATGTGATCATCTTTTAAGAACCACCTTTACCGAAGAAGGTGTCTGCTATACGTTTAATGGTCTCTCATCCGAGGATCTGCTCACCGATGAGGTGAATCCCAAATTCTTCGAGGGAAACAGATCTCCACACTGGACACTGGAACAGGGATACTCGTGTGAAGCGAACCTCACTTCCTATCCCTATCGGACGATTGGACCGGGTGCACTAGCTGGATTACAGATCATGTTATATTCAGAAGACAAGGACCTGGAATACAGCTGTAGTGGGCCAGTTCAGGGCTATAAGGTGCTCCTCCATTCACCGGCAGACTATCCACAAATTTCCAACAGGTACATACACATTCCCCTGGATCAGGAAGTGATGATAGCCGTGAAACCGCTGATTACCGAGACAACGCATAAATTGCAACACTACTCAGCCGAGCGCAGGCAGTGCTTTTTCAGCCACGACCGAAGTCTTCGATTTTTCCGCGTGTACACCCAGGACAACTGCAATCTAGAATGTTTGACGAACTACACGCTACAACGCTGTGGATGCGTTCGGTTCTCGATGATTCGCACCCAGGATATGCCCGTTTGTGAGACCAATCAAATGTTGTGCATGATACATGCTGAGGCAGAGCTCTTAGAAATGGGAGTAGTGGAAGAAGATAACAAAACAAGCTTCTATAACAAATGTAACTGCATGCCAGCTTGCAACTCCGTAGACTACGAAGTCGAAATTACCCAAAACGAATTTGAAGTGGTCGAGTGGGAAGTCTCACTTGGTGGGTCTCGAAAACAGCTGGACGGGTATGGTGGTCTTAGGTTGAGCTTGAAGTTAAAAGTTTGTAAATATGACTTTATTTTTCAATAGAACATTTGCAGCACACCTTCGGATTTACTACAAGAATTCCCAGTTCACACCTCAGAAGCGCAGTGAGCTGTACGGATTGACCGACTTCCTTGCCAACTGCGGTGGACTGTTGGGGCTCTGTTTGGGAGTGAGCCTGCTGAGTTTGGTGGAACTATTCTATTTTTGCTCGATCCGGCCTTTTATGCTGTGGAAAACGCGAAGTCAGTTGCCAGCAAAGGTGGAAAATGACAGCATGCCCGGTATCAGCTTACTGTCGACGGACATTCGTAAACGGAATGTGTGGAGTTCTTGAATTGACTGGGGAAAATTGTGAACGATTTTATGCAAATTTGTCCTTTAGACCACAAATTCCATTTTGCATCGGCAGATTTCCAATTCAATTCAATACAGCCTTACTTTTGAAAGGGGCTTATAGAAAATGATAAGCTAATTTTCAAAAAACTTTTACTCGTTTGTCTGATCAGTTTGGTGTCTAATTGTAGCTAATGGCTGATACATTTTGAAATATGCACTCTTAAAAATTTTGCAAAATTCTATAATATTTAAAATAAAAACTTTAATTTCAATTTTCTCAAAACGGATTTTTGTATTTTTTTTTTTTTGTGTATCAATTCAATCTATTGCACTATTGGTCAAGATGGAGAAATGATGGACAAAAGAGTTATGATTTAACAAAAAAAACTTTAGTTTTTGGAAAAATATCCAAAAGGTGATCCAATTTTTAATTCGACTTAATATAATGAAGGTATATTAAATTAACAAAAAACAAATGACATAAAATTTTTCAAAGTCGTACCGGTTTTAAGATATAGTGGTTTAAATGTTGAATTTTATATAATGTTGCTAATTTTCGCCCGTTTTTGGATGTATTTCACGATTCTCCGTTCCGAATATCTAGTTTTCTGATCAAAATATTCTCAATCAAAATGTTCTTGGTGGCGGCACATCGATATGATTAGTATCTTCCAAAAGATGAAAAAGAATGCGACCTTATTTCAAAGGTGCACTTCATACACTGAAACAAATCAGCATGCCAGAAAGTTTATTGATTCTATGCGTTAATTGAAAGATTCAATTGTTTTATCAGTTTAAAACTGCGATTGAGATATGGAATGTTTTATAATCTTAAATATTTACTTAGTACATGACATTCCTTTCCACGTTCAAGGTTTAGGATGGGTAAGATGTATATGAATAAAGGGTGATACGGTCAAAATTTGGTCAAGGGAAAACGCGTGTAAATCGGTGAAATCGTTTATTTAAAAAATCAAATTAAATTTCTTTTTCAAGTTCAATTAGTATAAAATTCAGGAAAAATATTCAGTTAGGCTTCCGCTTTTCCAAATCCGAATTGCCGGGCCTTACGCTTGACCCCTGCCATCAGATTTTGTACAGCCACCTTGTCCACCTTCTTCGCCGCAGAAAGCCAGTTTGCCTTGAACTGCTGCTCGCCCTTAGCAGTTTTTTTGGTCTTCTTTAGGTTCCGCTTGACAATAGCCCAGTATTTCTCAATTGGGCGGAGCTCTGGCGTGTTGGGAGGGTTCTTGTCCTTGGGAACCACCTGCACGTTGTTGGCGGCGTACCACTCCATGGCCTTTTTACCGTAATGGCAAGATGCCAAATCCGGCCAAAACAGTACGGAACAACCGTGTTTCTTCAGGAAAGGCAGCAGACGTTTATTCAAACACTCTTTCAAGTAAATTTCTTGGTTGACAGTCCCGGAAGCTATGAAAATGCTGCTTTTCAAGCCACAGGTACAGATGGCTTGCCAAACCAGATATTTCTTTGCGAACTTTGACAGTTTCATGTGCTTGAAAACATCTGCTACCTTTCCCCTTCCTTTTGCCGTATAAAACTCCTGCCCGGAAGCTGCTTGTAGTCGGCTTTGACGTAGGTTTCGTCGTCCATTACCAAGCAGTCAAACTTCGTCAGCATCGTCGTGTACAGCCTTCGGGATCGCGCTTTGGCCGTCGTATTTTGTTTATCATCGCGATTTGGAGTCACTACCTTCTTGTAAGTCGATAGTCCGGCTCGTTTTTTGGCTCGATGCACGGTTGTAGACGATACACCCAGCTTATTTGCGGCATCTCGGAGAGAGAGGTTAGGGTTTCGCTTGAAACTACCGGCAACTCTCTTTGTCGTCTCAGCGGCTTCCGGTTTTCGATTTCCCCCCGATCCAGACTTCCTGGCTGTCGACAAACGTTCCCCAAACACTTTAATTACATTTGTAACGGTTGATTTGGCAACTTTTAGCGATTTTGCCAACTTTGCGTGCGAATAGCTCGGATTTTCGCGATGCGCGAGCAAAATTTTGATACGCTGCTCTTCTTGCTTGGACGACATTTTGACAACTGAAGAGTGAATTCCAAAATCAAAAGAGGAGCAACATTCTACACACACACACCTTCAAAATGAGGGGTGTTCAGGTTTTTTAAATGCAAAATTGAAAGAAATACGTCAAGTTGATATTGACCAAATTTTGACCGTATCACCCTTTATTGTCTGATATATTTTATAGTGAAGAACTTTTGATATGTCATGGGTGGAAACAGACATCTAGAAACTATTGGACAATCATAAAAATTTGCACTATAAGAAAATCCAGTAACAAAATTCCTGTGTTCGTGATGAATATCGCTCACGAACAGGTCTATCTTATATGACAATCATGTATATTTTATTGAAGTGTCTTTTAACGATTATATGCGATTGTTGATATGTCTAGTGTGTAAACAGACAAGTAGAAACTATTGGAAAGTAATTTAAGTTTGCGCTATGGGAAACCTCAATAACAAGTAATTATTTTAGGGATACATACTGCAATACAATAAAATAAATATTAAATAGTCATCATCCGATGTGTTTTGACGATTGTAGATTGTAAACAGATCCATCCCAATTATAAGATAGTCAAATAAATTTTCGTTTTAAGAATACCAACAGCAAATATTTGTTTTTGGGATAAATATTTCTCCTTATAAAAAAAACATCTTATATGATTGCTTTGCATAGATTATTGAAATAATTTTCAACGATGTTATCGTACACTCATTGAATATGATAAAAATTAAACATCTAACAAAATTGTTAGATCAACAAAATATGTATATCAGTAATAATAGTGTATTGAATAATCTTAATTTTTATTGTCCCATAAGATAAGGGGTTCCGGAAAAGAATGTATTGAAAAAATGATTCTACTGCAATATTTACTTTACTAAGATTCTAGTTGGAAGCCTTCTTCACGGCTTATCCGGATACCAGCACTAGTACTGGAACTTCCCAAACCAGTTCCATGAATTCGTATAATTTAGAGGTTGTTTTATTGCACAAAGGGGCGTTAAGAAAGATTTGAACACACGACACAACTGAAGCGGAACATTTTTCTTCACTCTAGCAAAACGAGCATAACGTTGCACTACTATTCCATGTCGAGAGAGTTGTTATAACTTCATGCTAACAATTTTGAAGTCAGCCGTTGCCCAGTAGAACAAAGCGAAGACACCAACAACATCACACCTCAACAGTCCTGGATCGAATCCCACTTCAGCTGTAATAAATAAAAGGCGCAACTGTAGAAGTTCCTTCCACTGCCTGTTGAATATATAAATGTATGTGTCTAAACATGTTATTTCATGCGATTTTCAAATAAACTTTAACCCTCCGTTACTCGCGCTGTTGTACTTTGTACAACACACATGAGTTTTCCATTGCCATTTTGTTGCTGAGTTACCAATTGAAACCGAAACCAACGAGTATCCCTCAAAAAACTTGTTTTGATCTAAACAAGCTAGACTTTGATTACAGTAAACTCCTAAAAATGCGGACAATAGGGAAAATGTAAATGGAAACCGTGTAAACTGTGGTCATACTACGTAGGATTTGACTTCATTGATTACAACATGGAATATATCGAGATCCTGAACAGATAGAAAGTTACTATATCCGATAAAGTTGTTCAGAAGGTCATAGCCTTGTCGCTGGTGGACAGTAGTTCAGAATTTTCCCACTACGTAGCGCTAGTATACATGTGAAATTCTCGCATGTGATATATCTCGAGATCCTGACCAGATAGAAAGTTACTGTCTTTCACAAAGTTTTTCAGGAGATCAAAACCTATTGCATGGTGCTCAATAGTTCAGAATTTGCTCATTACGCGACGCTAGTATACACGTGAAGTTTTCATATAAAATATCTCGAGTTCCCAACCAGATAGAAAGGTACTGTCTTTGACATAGTTGTTCAGGAGGTCAAGGGTTTTTCGCAGGTGGACAGTAGTTCCGAGTTTTCTCACTTTGCGGCGCTACTACACATGTAAAAATCTTGCATATAAAATATCTCTAGATCCTGACCAGATAGAAAGTAAATGTTTTCGGCAAAGTTTTTCAGGAAGTCAAGATCTTTTTGTTGGGTGACAATAGTTCAGAATTTTCGCACTATGCGGCGTTAGTATACACGTGCCTTTCTTGCATATTCAATAGGTCGAGATCTTGATCAGTTAGAAAGTTGCTGTCTTCGGCAAAGTTGATTAGGGGGTCAAAAATTTTTGGCTGGTAAACAGTAGTTAAGAATTTTCTCACCACGTGGCGTTAGTACACATGTACACATTGTACACTTCTCGCAAATGCTATATATTAAGATCCTGATCAAATAGAAAGTTCCTGTCTGCGACAAAGTTGTTCAGGATGACAAGGTCTTTTGGCTGGTGGACGGTAGTTTCAAAATTTTATCACTTCATGGTGCTAGTGTACATGTGAAATTCTCGAATATAAAATATCTCAAGTTCTTGACCAAACAGAAAATTACTGTTGTCGGCAAAGTTGTTCAGGATATCACAAAATTTTTGCTCGTGGACAGTTGTTCAAAATTTTCTCACTACGTAGCGCTAATGAAATGTGAAATTCTCACCCGTGATATATCTCGAGATCCTGACCAGATAGAAAGTAACTCTCTTGAACAAAGTTGTTCAGGATGTTAAAGCCTACTTTTGGTGCAAAATGTTTCAGAATTTCTCACTACGCGGCGCTATTTTTTTTTTTTTTGTTCAGTAATTTATTTGATAAGGCGCAACCGAATTAACTTTACAGAGCCGAGGATTCTTGGTCACTATACAATACATCTTCAAACTATAGTCAAAAGGTACAACACAATAAACACTTTATCATCCGCTATCCAAAAAGCCTCCTCCATCAGAACTGGAGCCGCTTCCAGTAGTTTCATTGTATGGCAGTTACGCCATCGTGGGGCAAAGCGCTTCCATTGCAGCAATGGACGCAAAACGTGGTCAACACTCACAAACTCATCACGAAA